ACCAGGGTTATCAAGCAACACGCAAGACACGACAAACAATCAACCGCGAACCTCACATTCGCCCGTGCATCGCTCGACGCAGGCTCCCTGCGTCGCTCGATGCACCAACATGCGTCGATCGACGCACAACCATGGCATCGATCGATGCACTCCTGCGTCGCTCGACGCAAACGCCTTGCGTCGCTCGACGCACGAAATGCAGAAACCAGAATCGAACCTATCCTCTCACGGATCGATTCCCAGAACTCGTTTCCATCGATCTCCGGCACAAAGCCCACCCAAACATCATAAAATACACCCGCAAACAACAATAAACCGCATAGAATCTACTAATCAACGTGAAACCAAACACAAGCAACAATCATCGTATCCTATCAAAACTTTTACCCAGATAAGCCATGGTCACGCACTCACCTCGATTTCGGCTAGAAAAGGCTGTGAAATCGACGAAGAACACGAAGAACACGACGAACACGGATTCTCCAAAAACCGAATTCCTTCCTCGCACGATCCCTACTCACTCTCACAACCTCTCACACTCAAACACAAGCCTAATAAGATCAAGAAACACAAAGGAAACAACCACAACAACCTCTCCTCTCAATCATATCACTTTCTCTCTCAAAAACTCGGTTATTCTGCCCAGAAATCCGATTTTTGACTTAAATAGCTAGCCTGCCGACACTTGCGTCGCTCGACGCCGCAGCCGACATCTGCGTCGCTCGACGCAACCTCCTTGCGTCACTCGACGCAGCACCAAAAATCCATTTTTGGTTCGCGAGCATTACAACTATATCCTCCTCTTAAGCTCTTTGTCCACTCTTTTTCTCCTCCTTTGCACCATAGATCCATCATTAATTTTCTCCAAACTCATCTAGCTCCAAAACACTCCAAAACACCTAGAAGTAAGAGAAAACAATGCAAAATGCACAAAGTCCTAATCCTAAACTCTAAAATGCAAATGTAAGATAAATTATGTTAAACATGAACATAAAGATGAGATTATGATGCAAAATATAGGATAATTAGATGCAAATATAAGCTTATAAAGCGGTAAAATATGGGTTTATCACATATACATGTCAAACTTATACAAATGAAAACACTATAATTAACACGCGTTTAGAAAAACAAAAACCTCATAATTCATTGCAAATGAAGTATAAATGCATTAGTAGTGGAATCATAAATGTTGACTACAAAAGAAGTCTCCTCTTAGCAGACTTCTTCAAATACTATTTAGCAATGTTTTTAAATTTTAACTTTATGTCGCTTTTTCAAAATTACCCTTAAAATCTGTTTTGCAAATATAATTTGATAGAAATGTTTACAAACTTTCTCCATTATAATTTGTTTTGTGATACCACTTTTTCTTTTATAACCGAACTCCACAAAAAAAATATTCAGCCATGAAGCTAACCTTTTCTCTTGATTCCTTTTACTTAGGGAAAATTGTCACAATTGCCATTTTTTGGAAAAGTCTTTCAAAAAATGCCATTTTTCTGATTTCCTTTCATCAATTGCCATTTTTTTGTCTTTTAGTGTATAAGCAAAATACACTTTTACCCTCACATCTCTTTTTCCACACATCA